ACATTTTTAATGTTATATATATATTTATAAATCTTCATATGCAATATGATTCTCAGCTAATCTTCTTATCGTTGCCTTTGAACTGACTTTACTTAAAGGGACTAACGCTTTTTTAATTTCTCTGCTTGTTTCATTATGTGCAGTAGATTCGGTAATGTCATTCATACTTGTTTTATTCTCAGCAATACTATTTGTATCAAGATACTCTAGGCATAACTATTCTAATACAAAAATGCTAAACACACAGATATGAGACTCATTCATAGAGATTTCCGATAACTCTTTTTCCAACACAGAAGAACTATATTTACTTTTTCTATTCTGTAATTTTACTTTAAAGAGTGGGGGTGAATCACAAAACCATAAAATAATCTTAAACAGTTCATTAGTAAGAAAAAGTTGTATAGCTGCAAGTAAGAAATACCTAGAATCAAACCCTGACAGTTGCATCGAGCAACGACAGAAGATGAAGAATCTATCGCTTGCCTTCGAGTTATGTATATGCTAAAACACACTTTTTCATTTTTCATAGCAATTGGTAAACTGTCTTTACCCACTTTAAATTGTCCAGTTTCAAGATCGAAGAAAAGAAAAGCAATATCATCGGTACTATATAAAGCACTATCAGAGGTTTCAGTAATGAAATTAGTTTGTGTAACACTGCCAAAAAGTGCTACAATACAGAAATACGTTTTTTCTTTAAATTTTTTTTTTCTGTTTAGCAGTTTTTTTTGTGCAGCATTACGTTTCCGTGTAACTTTCTGTTCTTGTTGTTTATCTTTTTACTTTATTTTCACAGCTTTCACATCCATTTTATTTGTATACTGAACTAAATTACTCCTATAATTTGTTCACACTTCATCCATAGTATCGACAAAAAATCCTTCCTTACGATTCTTGTAGGAAATTGTAACAGCAAATCTAAAATCAAATAATTCCATTTTACTGTACAATTTTCATTTTGGACAGCGACTGTTCATGCTGTGATTTAAGCTTTTATTGGCTTGAGAAGAATATGCAAATAAATATTCAACAGCATTATTTGAAAGCTTCTCAAAAAGCTCTTTCATACTATCAAATATCTCTTTTTCAAAATGACGATCATCATCATAATACTCTTTATCTCGCTTACAAGAACAGAAAGAGCGAATTATCATGATCGTCAAAAACCTGGTAAGGCACATTTTTTGGAGATTTTTACGTTTCTTTAGTACTTCTTGCATTATTTTTTATCGTAGTCACGAAAGTATTTTTCAAGTAAGCGATTGCATAGTGAGATAGTTCTCTGTCTGAATCTAAAGCTTTGTTTTTACGAAAAAGATACAATATATTGCCAACACCTTACTTTATGTGATTCATATCAGATTTTTTCAGTATAATATGATAACTAGTGGTAATGCTACTAATATTTTCTCGCTCACGTCTCTCCCTTACTCCCCCCTAAAACACATACCCCACAACGTGTGAAAGTCCTCAAACATTAACAGTAAATGAATTTTTTTTATGCACTTTCTTAATACGTTATGAGATTCATAGTTTTGTGATCTTACAATAAATACATAAAAAATATTGCTATTACTAACGAACCATAATAAACAAATATTATTCATTAAATCATAAGTGCAGGCAGATAAAACATAACTTTTGAGTGCCTCACATTCAAACCTAACACACAAATATCAATAACATTATTTAAAATAACATAACGATTCTTACCAAGTTTCATATCGGACAAAGTTTGTTCGATTCCTTTAATTTTTTTTTGTCCTAAGCTACTAGGTAATTTTATTTTTTGGGAACGCAGGCATACTCCACTGTTTTTGAAATCCGGAAATTTAATACTAGTTGGTTCCACAGCATACAATTTTATAGCCTGTAAGAAATAATACAGTACTGTAATGCACACTTGGATTTACTGAAAAATTTTAGAAATATATCTTTACATCTATGTCGTAACAGTGGATTCTTTGAATATAAATATTTAGCAGCTTTTTACTTTCGGACTCAATTTAAATGGAGTAATAGATAAAAATAAAATCAAAATACAATAAAACGTATGAATAAACACAGTATGATAAATTTGATATTATTTTTTTTTCTATCATCGAGGTAACTGTATTTACATCACTGGACAATTACAATTGAAAAAAAATACAAGTTAAAAAGTTTTTATGTACAGGTCATAAAAATTGTATACAGGTAGTATTTTTTTCGTTAACTCTTAAGCATTAAAACAATATTTAGTATTTATTCTACAGACTACAAGAAAATGCTGAAAAAGTTTTCTTAATCATTTAGGGATATAAAAATCGAAGAGTTGAAGTTCAGCACAATATCAGCTGATTAACTGCACGGTAACTTTTTTTCTAATGTGTTGTCTTTAATTGTAATAAAAAGTACTGTATAAAAATGATAGCATAAGTGAACATAGTCTCAATATTTTTTAGGTTGAAAACAAAAACTTTTTTTTTGAGATTCAATACATTTTTGTTCTCTTTTTCATCAAATAGTGATAAGCTCTAATTTGAAACAAAAAACCATAAAATTGTTCAAATGTACCCCATTAGAAATCTTATACGTATATATTTGTCTTTCGTTGATTTTATCATTTTATGAATCTTCCTGATACAACATCCTACTTCAGAGAATTTTCCAAAACAAATGATTCTCTAACATAAAGAGAAGACAGATATAGTTTGTATGATATATTTTTTGGAATCAAATGCAATAATTTTCTAGATTTTTAAACACAAAATATACTTCATACATAATAAGACGCAAAAATTTGATTTTCCAAAAACTTTTTTTTTAATTGACGTATAAAAAAAAACAATTCTCTGAAATAACATTTACTTGTATCGGCATAAGGTATCCATGAAGAAAAAAAAGGCAAAAAATCATTAAAATCAATCTAGGCAATCGTGAGATCTGACTGATTACACACACAAGCTTGCGCGCGCTCGCAAATTCATACAGAGAGATAGATAGATATTTGTTAATTTCACGCCAAAGATCAGAGTCCATATGGCAAATTTCAATTTGTACATTTTTAATGTTACTATGATAAAAAAAATATATAAGATTAATTAGTCACAAAGATTTATCGCTTACAGTTCTTGGAATGTTTTAAGCGCTTAAAGCTTAGTGCTGAGTGCTCGCTCGTCGTACGCTCAATAACAATAAGTTAACAATAAAATAAGACGATAATAGAAGAATGGTAGGTACACAAATTTATAATACTGAAAAATACAGACAATAGAGTAACACTAAGATACCTCAAATAAACAAGGATTTAGTCACAAAAAAATAAACAATTATATATAGCCTCTTTGGAGCCTAACAGTAAATCGATCTGATGTATGTTGCAAGGAATCTCATCCCAGAAGCGCAATGTAGAGAGTACAAAGGACCGGTAATATTACAATATGATAATACAAGCCATCGGACAAACAAATGACGACGCTGCCCGCCTAGTTGATCAACGCAACTCATCATTGACTACAAACATTTCAGCCAAGTAGCCCGGTCTGCCGCTCCGCAAAACTCGGTACATCTGCAGTGAGAAAAAATATTTCCTGCGCACATCTACTGTCAACCAACCTAATCGACTACAGTACGGAGCTATTTCCGCATCTCGTCTCAGCCTGAAAACATATCGCACCACTCTATTACAGAGGCGATGGAGTTTAGTCTCTAAATATTCCGAGAGATCCAAATAAACTAGACACGCATAATCCAGATGCGGAAGCAGCAAGGCTGAGGCCAGCATACGTCGGAGTCCAACTGAAAGAGCATCGCTCCTAAAGTGCAGCCTTTGAAGCACCCCATGGATGCGAGAGCTGATCTGAGACACTTAACCGTTCCACGATAGGTCCTCCAACAACTCAACGCCCAGGCTTCTCACCGAGGACACAAAATAGACGGGCTCATCCTCAACTATAATTTGGGGTAAGGCCTACTCATCAAGGCACATATAAGGCTGGGTCGAGGCAAAGATGATTGCCTTTGTCTTGCTACGCTGCAGCCCCAACCCGCTCTCACGCGTCCACTCCTCAACAGCAACCACATCCCGATTAATAAAGCCAATCGCCACTGGGAGATCATATGGGGACACATGAGTTACTTTTCTGAAAATCATTAGTAAATAACAGGGCATGACTTTACCGTAAACACGCAATTACAGAATCTATAAAAGCCAAGAAAAGTACCGGACAAGCTAAAAAACCCTACGGAACACCCGATGTGAATGGCACGGCCTCTGTAAGGCTGCCGTCCAGCATCAATACTTCTTATGATCTGCTAGACAAATAAGAGTGCAGCCATCTCAAAGCGTCATCTTAAAATAAGTAATTTGTACGCAGGCGTTTTAACATCACATAATGGTTTATTGTGTCGAATGCATATCTGAAATCAAAAAAAGACAGAGACTCTAACGTGTCCCCTTTCAATTGAGTCCCTGACATCATCCGTCAACTTGAGGATCGCTGTTTGCGTGCTAAAATCACGGTGAAAATCTGACTAAGACGGCGATAACAGACTTTTTTTTAAAAACAAGTCTTATATTTGCCTGGCAATAAGATGGTCAAAGACTTTAGCAAAATGTGGTAAATTCACCACAGGACGGGTATCACAGGGCTCCAGAGAATTCTGTACCTTCATCAGCGCAGTCCATCAAGGATCTTGCACACTCTCACTTTTGTAACTAAAAATACAATTTCATTTTTAATAGATATAACGATACAAAAATGTTTGACGTACAAATTATTCAGTAGGTATAGAACAAGATCAATAAAATCACAAACTGATAGAAATAAGAGTATAGATTAACTACTTATTGAGTTTACTGAGTCGCGCACTTATATACAAAATGAGAATCTCTTAAGCCGAAACTAAAGGAGCAACGGCAAAGATGAATTGCATTGCACATTTTATGTGTAAGCAGAGTCAACGGCTGGATTCACCGTCTTATTTAATTTCATTTCATCACACGAAAAAACTATGGGTCACCAGATCCATGACAGAAGCAAAGCTTCATTGAGGTTTTTTATAAAGAAACTCGTTCTTGAAATTATATAATTTTTTTGTAATTGTTCATAAACATTATTTTACTTGAAAATTACAAAATTTATTAATGCTCATTCATTATTTTTATTTGGCTTTTAACAGTAACAACTATGGGCTTAGGGTTCGAAAAATATAAAATATAATACAATAATTCAACTATATATAAATAACGAGCAAAGACGGCGTCGATGATTGTTCCATATTTAGTGGTCGATTGCAAGGGTTTATTAATCATATTTCAGTTGAATTTTTGAAGTTGGGTCAAACCCAACTTGGCTGCCAAGATCTCAATATTAGTCCAAGCATAGCAGTGAACTGCTTTTCAGCAAATTTCGAAAAACTGAAGACATACAGTTAAAATTATCCAGTTTCTAACGAAATCTTTATAGTTGAAGGTCTTCTGAAATCACGTTGGACAAATTATTTTAACAATCCAGTTTTTACAAGACATTTTGCTTATGCACGATGGACAAGATATATTATTATATCTTAGGTATAATATTAGCGCTGACTGAGCAATTTACCTTTAAATTGACCATGAATTTTAAATCCATGGGAATTAACCAAAGTGCTCCTACTTAATATGGTACCTTCGTTATAAGCCTTTTAGGGAAAAAATAAGTTTTTGTAAGTTTAAACTTCTTTTGTCTGATAACTTGTTTTAATTTACATTGAACACAATTATATTGGAGAAGCAAAAAATTTTTTTTGATTGAGAAAATTTTAAGTGATTTTCTGGAATAAATAATAAAATAAACCTTTGATTATGCAATTGTTTCATACACATTCAGCTTAACTTTTTTTAAATGCAAAACCCATATAATAGCCGATTAAAAGGTAAAAATAGTTGAAAATAAGTACATATGTAAGGGTTTCTAAATAAGTATCGCAAATTTTGTATTGTTTTGGAAATCATTTGTTCTTTCATGAATATCTGTTATCTTTTTTAAAGTAACTCCCCCTTGATGTAATGAATCTATACCTACATTTTTCGTATCCTTAAAGCGTATAAAAAAACTTGTTTACTGTAATGTTCTTTAGCTTTCATTTCGATAAAGTATCTATCTTCTTTATCGTGAGGTAGCGTCATATTTTTACAGGCCCCTTAAGTTTTAGGAGCAGAAAAAAATTACAATGGGTCAAATTTGTGGAATTCAATAACTAAAGCAGCATCACTAAATTGTTTTCAACCGACAATTGATAATTTTCGGACAAGTAACGATAATAGACAGGATACCTGAATACATATTATATTCAGTTTTTTACTTGTTAACATCTGTTTTGATCCTCAAAAGATCTGCGAAGTATATTTTTTTTTATGTTTTATACTTTTTTTTATTTGCCTCCATTTAAAAAGTCCAGAAAAAGTCAGCCATAATATTAATATTCTGTCGTCCTTGATAACATCTCTCAATCTTTTTAATATCCTCACCTTGCTCTTCGCAAAAATCTCCGAAATTTTCCGGAAAAGAGTCCAGGTGAGAGTCAAGGAAATGTAGTTTCTGATTCATAAGACACCTTAATCCTCGGGAACTCCCTATAATGTTTTTCACAATTTTTATTTAATGTTCATTCTTAGTGTTTCCAAAAAAATTTTCCACGACATCTTGGAAACCAAAACATGCTGCTTTTTTAACGGTGGTCATAGTAGTCACAAAAGTTTAATCCCTCAACAAAGTACATATCTATGGTCCATTGAATACACATTGTTGGACTTTAGCATCAAACAACTTAGGGTAAACACGCTAGATACATCCGAAGCACTCCCCTTCCTTGTCCAAAGAATAACAAACTGTTTCATCAATCCTA